ACCAAAGGTTTTGGAGGGGACAAAAAGTGATGACCCAAATTAGATCAAAGGGCATTTCTTTTCAGTTTCTTTTCTTTTGGTTCCTTATAAACTATTTTTCATAAAGAATGGAACAAGGTCTATCCAAGCTAAATAAATAGCTTATTTCGATATGAAAAAGGAGAAGTATTGTGCATATATGTTAATGAGATATTTAAGATATCTCCACCAGGAAGATTGCTATCTTGAAGGATTCTATGGGCAAAGTGTTGAACAATGCAGGAAAAATCAAAAGAAGATGGGAAGAATATACAGAGTCACTGTACCAAAAAGAACTGGTCAACAGTCAACCATCTTCAAAAGCAGTGTATCATCAAGAACCAATGACATTGAAGGAAGATATCCAAGCTGCTCTGAAGACATTGTCAAAACCGAAGAATCTAGAAATTGTTGGTATACCAGTTGAACTGTTTCAACAAGCTGACGAAGTACTGGAAGCACTCACTAATCTATGCCAAGACATTTGGAAATCAGCTAGCTGACCAACTGACTGGAAAAGATCTATGTGTGTGTCCATTGCAAAGAAAGGCGATCCAACAGAACACAGAAATTATCGGACTGTATCATTCTGATGGCAGATTTTATGTCAACTTGTCATTACCTGTGTGGAGGTAACCTGTGTGGAGTTGAACATGTCCATCAGGTTGAAGCCTGGTGATGCTTCTCTTGGGGTGTGGGCTTTTAAAAAGAGAGACACTGAGACCTTCTCTCTGGTCTCTCTTCACCTTCCTGCTGGCCTGAATTGTGTGTCTGGCTCTGGGGTTGACAGCCCATGCAGCTTGCCAACCATGGGCGCTGTGGGCCTGCCGTGTTCCTGCTGGATCCACATGACGCTATGCTCACTGGCCTGTGGTTTTGCAGCTTTTCGTTTGGCCTTCCTACTTCATCCACCAGCAGTTGTGTGCATCTGAAGAGGGCTTCAGTAAGCACCAGACCCATGGTCTTGATTTGGACTGGGCTGGGCCGCTTTCTTGACATAAAATTATTTCTTGATATGAAATTTTCCTTACACATATATGAACATCACTGGCTTTATTTATTTACAAAAATCAGTCTAACGGTCATTAATGTCACCCACAAATAAAATTTTGCCGAAGATAATTCAACAGCCATGCAGTAGGACATCAATAAGGAGCGGCCAGAAATTCAAGCCCAATTCAGAAGAGGAATATTATTGGTGACAAAAGATAGACCTTGGTTGAAAGCAGAAAATACCAGAAAAATGTGTTTTGTGTGTTTTATTGGCTATGCAAAATCACTTGTCTGTGTGGATCATAGTAAACTATGGATACCATTGAGAAAACTAGGAATTCCAGAACACTTCATTGTGCTCATGCAGAACCTGCCCATGGGCCAAGAGGCAGTCTCTCAAACATGGGAAGGGAAGGCTTCGTAGTTAGGGTCAGGAAAAGTGTCCATGGGGTTTTATCCTTTCATCATTGTTATTCACTCTGTATGCTGAACAAATAATCTGAGAAAGTGGGATTATCTGAAGAAGAATGTGGCTTCAGGACTGGAGGCTTATTAACAACCTGGGATATGCAGATGACTCAGCCTGGCATGCTGAAAGTGAAGGGGACTTGAAGGACTTGCTCATCAAGATCAAGGACTGCAGCCTGCAGTATAGATTACAAATCAACGTAAAGAAAGTGAAGCACCTCACCGTTAGACCCATAAACAACATCATGATAAATGGCGAAAAGCTTGAAGTTGTCAAGAATTTCATTTTGCTTGGATCTACAATCAAATGCTCATGGAAGCAGCAGTCAAGAAATCAAACAAAGTATTGTCTTGGGCAAATCTACTGCACAAAACCTCTTTAAACTGTTGAAGAGCAAGAGTGCCACTTTGAGGACTAGGATGCACTTGACCTGAGCCATGGTGTTTACAATCACCTCAGAAGCCTGCAAAATTTGGACAATGAATAAGGAGGACTGCAAAAAAAAAAAAATGGATGCATTTGAATTAAGGTGTTGGCAAAGAACACTGAAAGTACCATGAACTGTCCAAAGGACAAACACACCTGTCTCAGTAAATGTACAGTCAGAATGCTCCTTAGAGGTGAGGATGGCGAGACATGGTCTCATGCACTTTAGACATGTTATCAGGAGAGACCAGACCGGAGAAGAACATCATGCTTAGTATAGTTGAAGGCGAGTGACAAAGCGGAAGTCCCTCAACGAGATGGACTGACCAAGTAACTGCAACAATGGGCTCAACCTCACAATTGTGAGTATAGGGAAGGGTTGTGCCGGTGTTTCCTTCTGTTGATTGAAGTCAGAACCCACCCAAGGGCAAGAATTCTGGGCATTTGGTAAGCAGTAAGTAATTGCAAAGGACAGCAGACATGCATGCAGAAGAGATTAACCCCAAACTTCTTTTACTCTCAGGGAAACAAAACACAAATAGACAGACAGACAGACAGAGTCATCGAGTGAATGCTGACTCTTAGTGCCACTGTGAGTTTCTGAGACTGTAACTCTTTATAGGAGTAGAAAGCCCAGTCTTGTTCCCACATAGCCGGTGGTGGTTTCAAACTGCTGACTTTGTAGTTAGCAGCTCAATGAGTAACCATGACACCACTATCAGGGATTTGTCTGTATTTTTTTTCTTTCATGTATGTAACATGCTAAACAGAGTCTTGAAAGGAAACATTTGAAGGGTAATTCTGAAAATTCTAAAAAAAAATTCGGTAGACATACACTTTTCATGGTTCGTAGGAGACTGGTTATTATCTTTCTACAAACAATCACCTAAGCAGAGGTCTGGGAAATCCTCTTAAATGGATTTCCAGGTATGTCGGAAACGCGTTTACACATTACTTGGGCTTGGGCTTTACTTAGCTGAGCTGGGGCAGACTTTTCATCTGTTCTTCCCAGTGAGCAATGGGAAGCAAGAGAGGTGGATACTGCCCATGAGGGATCCTGGGAGGAGACTAGGGAGAATTGAATAGCCTCAATTGTCTCATCCAATTACCAAACCTCAAATGGAAAAAGTTGTATCTTGGAACCTTCCCCACCCCTTTCCTAAGGAGCCCCTAGACTCTGCTAAGACCTCACTGTCAGAGTCACTCTTCCCGCTCCACCCCTGCCCGCCCAGCCCACCTGGCACAGTTCTATGCCCAGGAGCGACGACGGCACAGAGCAATGCATGCTTAGGGGCTTCCAGGATCCGCTCCTCAATTCTCACTAAAGGGTGGAAAAAAGAAATAACGGACCTTTCCAAATCTCTCTCTGAGGAGCATGCTGCTGCTGTTGTGGGATGTCCTGGAGTTGATTGTGAGTCCTCAGGACCCCTTGGACAGAGAAGAACTGCCCCTATGGCTGCCTGAGGCCCAAGAAGCTCTGGTAGTGTAGTGGTTACTCTTCGGGCTGCCAACTGCATGGTCAGCAGATGAAACCACCAGCTGCTCTGTGGAAGAAAGATGGGCCTTCTATTCTCATAAAGCATTCCAGTCTCTTATCAGACATCAAAGAACTAAAAATCAGATCAGTGGGTACCCACCTTCCTGATATGATCACTGAAGACAAAACGTGTGCATAAGCAAAGGTGGTGAAGAAAGCTGATGGTGCCTGGCTATCAAGAGATATAGCATCTG